AAAAAAAAAAAAAAAAAAAACCCCCTCTTACCAACCAGTCTCAGAGGGGTGTTGGGTTTCGAAAGATAGGTTAATGAGTTAAAAATACAAAAGATAATTATACCCTTTAACATGGATATAAATTGGATTGATCAAGAGACAAAATAGTCATTTACAAGATAAATGATTGTTAGTAATTGTGATATATTCGTGAGTTCTACATATGTATATGTTACATATTAAGTATGTGTATGAATTAGATTCAATCTTTGTAAAGAAGAATTTGACTTTGAAAGAGTTCGAAAAAATCAATCCAAACACTCCCCAAAAATCCATCCAAACAAATCCATAATGTTCTTTTAATAATTTAGTGTTGGATTGATTAATTATATCAAGTTTAGGGTACTCTAACATGAATGGCTGAAGAGCCCATTCCAGAAAAGTTGAAGACCTAAGGTCATCTCCAGCTTCGATCCAAATTTATAATCAAATTTGAGTAAAAAACTTCAATTAATATAAAATATTTTAATGGACAAAGACAATTAAATGAACATTAATCCAAATTTAAAAAATGACGAAACATGATTATTAAATCTTTAAAAGAAGATAAAATTTGACTATAAGAGATTTGAGTAAAAAATTGATTCTAACTTCGTTAAATATAAGTTTGAATAAACACCCGGAACTTGTTTTAATCTAGTTTTACTCAAATTTAAATTTGAGTCACAATTGGAGTAGTAATTAGAGATACTCTTAACTAATAAGTCCAAAAATCAATCAATTCATATGGCAATGTATATTCCTCTCTCCTTGTGCAATGTTTCTTGGTATCAAGGTGAACTAAGGATCTCTAAAGGATTTTATACTAGTATGTTCCCATACAAAGCACGCTTTTTTAATACATGGGTTGAGTTTTAAATTTAAATTGTGATTGAAAGGTTAAAATTTACACAGCAGAATCGTGATTAAGATTGCACTGGATTGTGTAACTATCAGCAGAATCGTAGTAGCCTAAACATATGGGAGAAATTCACAGCAAAGCACAACAATTCAACCGTCACCACTGTTTTGAAGGAATTCCAGAACAACAGAGATGAACGGTACAGGGAAAGCAATCCTCCGTAAGAAGAAATGATACACACTTCCAAATATATAAACACCTTTGATCAGAACAATAAACATATGAATTCATCTTTTCAACTGTCAAAATTGAAGCAATGGACCAACAAGCCAAAGCATATTCATGGCAACAGGAGATAAACATAAAGTTGAAAAAGAAAAGCACGCCTACATTTGTTTTATGCCGGACATCTCAGCCTCCACCCACTGTTGCATCCTGCTCTTCATTCACGTTAGCATTTAAAACCTGTAGGCGTCTGAAAGCTGGAAGAGAAGAAGAGGAAAAAGAATAAAAATCCATGACTGATTAACGGCAATATCTATTGCTTTAGAAAATCCATATGTCATATGTAGCCATTATTTTTTTTTTGTGTCCACTGCACTAACGGAACAAATATCCCTTGATAGAGGGCAATGGAGCCAAATAGTTGGATTAAGGATTTGTTGAATTGAGATGAGTTGAGTGCCTTTCAAAGTGACAGAGAATGAGATTTTTATGTTGAAAAAGCCACTCATTCTATCCTGCGTAGGCAGATAGAAAAATACAACTATTCACAAGCATGCCGTCAAATATTTTCTTGACATCCTTATATAAACTACATCATAGACCACAGGTCTAGTAGTTGTGCATCAGCCTGCTTCCCAATCCAGAGACTTTTAAGTAGCAAGTCAATCTGTCCCTATCAACTATCACGTATAATGTTAATCTAAAGAGGTTAATGGAAGATAAAATTCAGTAGAACCATCAATAAAGATAATTCAACACTCGGTCCAACCAACAGATGTTGAAAAACGAGATGATGGGCTGTGGCTAAGGCTGAAATGCCACTTGAACTAAGTGATAAGCAAAAGCTTATCTGCGGCAAGTAAGTGATAAGCAAAAGTTTATTTGTGGTAAGCAAAAGTTTCTTAAAATGGTTTAATAATCAGAGAAGAATGAAAGCAGGAAGTGAAACCAACCAAAAACTTACATTTGAGAGAGGATCCAGCAAGACAAGTGAGTCTCGATTTTGTATTGGCCTCAGCTAATGGATTTGGCTTGTCCTTGTTAGCCATTCGAACATCCCAAACACGAATGACCCCATCTGACGATGCAGATGCTACAATATATGGATCATCATCAGTGGAGCCACCATCATTCCTAGAAAGCACAACAATACCTTTCACACGGGCTGAATGTGCATCCTCAATAGAATATGCAACCTTCCCACTGGTTGAGTCCCATGCTGTGAGATTCCTGTCCTCTCCACCAGTGAACAACATTCCATTCTGCAAAAAGTTTTACATCAGTATCAGAATTTTAAAGTAGGACTGTCTAAAGTTACCCACTAACTCAGGTGAAGATAAGAGCTATATGGCTGAGTGTTGTTCAGTGTAATCATTTCACTCATTAAATCATGTCTGCAGAACAAAGGATGTCCCTAATATATACATTAACGAAGCCATAAAGAGTTTTCTAATGAAGTTAACCAAGTTGAGATTAGAGGTAGTGAAACAACTTATGCCAGAGTGTTTGACTTTGATCACTTCTACAGATGATTACTTGCAACCAAGACTCATTAAGCATAATAGGTCTTTGTTCATTTCAGGATACCTTAATGGATTGGAGATAACAAGAATCATGATAGATGAGGGACCGGCTGTAAATCTCCTACCTTTGAGAATACTAAAAGGTCTCAGGATTGCTATCCATTGATTCAGCCATGTCTACAGTCCTAATTCTACCCTAAGAAAGAAACAGTCAAGTTCAAACAGTAAATGGTACTTGAGAGATAGTTAAACCAATCCATGGCATGTTCAATTTCACCCACAATTTGGTACGCAACTCATTATGAGGGTCCAATTCGAGCTACATGCACAAAAATGGTAAAACAACTTTTGAGGGGGTCGGTGCTTCTTGATTAGACAGATTTTTTTGTCTTTTCCAACAAGTAATCAATAATGTAGAAACATACCCTTGATAACATTCACTCAGGTTAGTCCTCCTGTATATTTCTCTGATATTTCTTCACAAATGGTAAAAAATTGAAGAATTTGTGAAGGGTTGAGTAAATGGCATAAAAAATGAACAGGGGCAGGACCAGGGGGGCAAGTAGGTAGAGGTTAAGTTACAAACAGATTCCATGAAGTGGCTAAGAGCTTCAGATATTACACGATCTAACAAATTGGCGAGAAACTGAGTTAGAACATTATTTGACATAGTGGCAAAAACTAACTGAAAAAAAAATCTCGATGTCCTGGCCAAGCCTTTATATCTTAAAACTGATACGTGACAAGGACAGGGACTCCTTTCTATGAGTTTGGATGCCACAGACTGATTTTGAGCAGTGGTAAAAAGATCATTGGGACTGATTAAACTGTATTTTGGTGGCTAAACGGAAGGGAAGTATTGGGCCGGTTGAGATGGGCAAGGAAAGGAGAGGTTCAGGGGCTGCTCTGGGTGAGTAACACAGAACCTGAGAACTGTGATTGAGATTGTTTGGTTGGTAACTGCTGCCTTTCAAGGAATAAAGTGATTGAGATTAGCAAATCAGATCTGATTGTGCTTCTAAAAGCTTCAAACAGCAGCATTTAACTGAAGGTCAGTAGAAACTGGGCATCACACCTTGCAACCATTGGTTCACACATAGGGTTCTAGTATATTACACCCAAGAGAAAGATGCATCACATATCCACAAGTTTTAGTAACACCAGAAACAACATAAATAATGCTGTTGGAAGGCTGTTAGGCCGAAACGGTGCAGCTGAACAGCGGAGCGAACATTTGGCTGATTCAGGCTGTTTTGGTGAGGTATGGATTATCTTCCTCCTTACACTCATGACATTTATAAAACTGAGCGTTTCACACCATAAGGGCCCAAAATTCATACATACATTCAATTTCTTCATTCAAAGCTATCTTTGGTACAACACAATCACATATTGAAATAACTGAAGAATAAAACACTATACATATGAAGTCACACACACACACACACACACACACAAAAGAAGAAAACTAACCATGCCCGGTGCAGCGCACAAAACCCTCTTTTTATTATCCATTTCAAAAATTAACCGCGCATCTTCAGCCTCATGAACAGAGATTTTCTCATCCATAACCATAAAGAATTTCTCCCCACTTTCATCAAACCTCACAATTGAGGCTTCCTTCCCCAACCTACAGTAAAAACTACGTCTCCCTCTCACCAAATTCACCATAGCCAAGCAATCATCCCTTCCCACTGACAACGCCAACTTCCCAGATGGATGCACCGAAATATCATTCACTCCCTTTCTATGAACATTTAGGGTTTTGAGATTAACAAAAGGGTCAGTATCGTAGAGGGAGATAGTGCCATCATCGGCTGCAGAGATGAGGTTTCGTGGGAAGGAGAGAGAGGGTGGGGTGAAGAAGGAGAGGGAGGTGACGGTGGAGGAATGGAAAACAGAACCGATTTCGGTGGAGGAAGCGAGGTCGTAGAGTTTGATGGTGTCGTCGGAACCACCGGAGGCGGCGGCAAAGTGGGAAACGGCGACAGATTTGATGGGGGAGAGGTGGGCAGGGTAGGAGAAAAGTGGGGTCAGGGTTAGGGTTTCCGAGTGTTTTGGGGATTTGAGTTTGAAACCCCAGATGAAACGCTCGTATGAGCCTGCGATTAGGCTCATGGTTCTGGAGTTTGGCCTTTCTCTCTCACACAGACACACAGTGAATTTCACTCTCTTTCTCTCTCTCTCTCACATACACACACACAGTAAGTGAGGTTATGGAGGTTGAAAGACTTTTAGGGCTTTGAGTTTCTGAAAACCCTAGGAAAGGAAGGAGCCAGAGAGGTTTCGGTTGGGGTTTAAGCTAGGAGTGAAATTACCGAAATGCCACGGATAGCGAAGCTGGGAATCAACTGTCATTCGGAAAAATTACACTTCCATCTCCTCAATTACGTCTCTTGTCTCACATTACTCCTTTTAATTATCTTATTTTTCACATTACTCTTTTAATTATCTTATTTTTTCACGTTGTACATTTAGTTATTATTTTCACACTTCCTCTTCAATTATCATGTTTCTACATTACACCACTAATTTTGATTATTGTTTTTATTTTACCCAAATCATAGAAATTAAAAATATACATTTTTCTATACATTTAGACACTAGAAATAACATGTACCTTAGGATACTCTATAATACTAAAAATCAAGCATTAATAGTATAACATTTATATTTTATAAAAAAAATATATAGAGAAAAATAGGAAAGAGAGAAGCAAGATAAGTATTAATTAATTGGGTTTGTTGAATTGTTTGATAATTTTTTTTTTTTTTGGGGGGGGCGTATGAGTGTGTTCTCGTCCGAAGAGATTACTATTAAAATTTATTGAATTCAAAGATAAATTAATTTACCCAAAGTTTTATTCTTATGTATACATTGTACATAACCACATATAACCAAATTAAAATCAAGTTGACATATGCATTAGACTCTGCTTAAGTCCGGCTTGAATGTTATTAACTACTTTGGACTATGCCCGTCATAACTTTAAAATGCATTGTATAATAAAAGTCTAAAACTCCACGATTATAATGCAATTCACACACACTTCACCGAGCAATTGGAATGAGGGACAATGTAGTGTGCACATTAGCTTCCCAAGTTACATATACTACACTAGGATACAAATGTAATTGTATGCACTAACATGAAAGCAACTAAGAACCACAACGCCAGAAAAATATGATATATACAACATATTTCAGAAGGATGACTCTCTCTGTGCTCCACGCCCATCTCCTTCCAGCTTTAGGGATTTCCATTAAATAGTAGATGGTCCATCACATCTGTAAGCAAACAGGCACATACGATAATATTGTATACATACTACTGTCAAGATCCTNGATTTCCATTAAATAGTAGATGGTCCATCACATCTGTAAGCAAACAGGCACATACAATAATATTGTATACATACTACTGTCAAGATCCTGGCAACAGCTGAAATGTTTAACAAATTATAAAGTCGATAGGTTGGATTAGTCCTATTGAAAAACGTTATTGAAACCCACTTAATCCAACTATACACATTCATTTCATAAACTATTTTTGTAAGCACATCAGTCTTGTGTATAGTCGCCAATTCCAATTTTACAGGGTGACTGGTTTGAACTTTGAACCATAAGAGTTCAACCAGCAAAGGATTCTTCCAAAAGGTGAACTTAGTGAAATCCCAGCTTTTGGTTGTGCCAAAATACTTGGGCCCAAGCAAACAAGGAGCTCATCTCTATCCACAATAATATAGATTAAGTAAATTAATATTCGTCAGAATATTCTGACCCTTTAGGGTTTTAATATTCAAAATGTTGACCAATAAGAAGTCTGCTAGATTTCCACAAAAAAAAAAAAGAAGGGATTAAGATGTGAATCTTACATTGACATTGATACTAGCGGGACTTCTTCAGACGTTTGGGTGGCCTCCTTGTTTCTTTTCTAGGATTGTCTGGAGTTTTCATGTCTGTAAATGGCTGCAAGCATTTGGAAGAACAAGTGTAAGGAGGAAATGCTTAAGAAATAAATCATTCTAAAAACCAGGGATCAATACATAACACACCACATATGCACCAGCAGTCAATGTATCAGTACCCAATTATTTGACGTGACACAATACTATTCTACTCTCTTTTGGTTCCAATATGTACTTCTCACCCAGCAATTTCTATGTCGATTAGGACTGTAGCCATGTGGGAAGATAAATTCTAGGTTCTGATGTGTCCTGTTGAGTCCAAAAATCTTATTTTTATCTACTCTCACAGTGACACTTCAATTAACTACGATAGATTTTCCCCTGGGTTGAATTGAGAGAGAGAGACCTGTTCAAAAAATAAAAAAAAAAGAATTGAGAGAGATAGAGAGAGACAAAGAGGGAGGCAAAGTATTTGCCTAAATCCCCAACTCCAACCACCATGTTAAACCAGAGCTATCTTTTCTCCCTCTTACATCGTACTTTCATATTGCTAACAAGATAAACTGTAAGGAATCCATACCAATGGACCCACAAGTTTTACTTACCATTATGGGCAATAAAACCAAGTACATTCCTAATATAACAGATCCCATTAAGAGGTGATTAATGCCTAGAAAGCACTTAAATATGCTTCTCAGTGACACATATCTGATTCTGATCTAACTACTGCTCACTGTGTCATAACATACTCAATGTCTTGCTATGAGGTGTAAAGATGAAGTAATATTTTGCTTTATCAACCAGAATCTGGAACTCCTTCAAATTTAGGACCTTGAAGCATCTAAGTGGTCTATTATAAAGCACACAGTAGACATGCTGCAGTCATTGGGACACCCCCGCAAAGCCATTAGTGACAGCCAAGAGCAGATGGAAAAAGATACTTCACAAAAAACTGTATTTGAACTAACAAGGTCACTTCAAAGAATATATAAGTGCCATCAAGAAAAGAATTCTTAAATGAAATAATGTGTGCTACTCAGACCTCTTCGAATTTCTTTTGAAGTTCCAAAAGTTCTTGACAGTAAGTAAGGCACTCCGAATGGTATACAGCAGCCAAGTCTTTTATCAAGGCCTTTCTTCTGATAATACCAATCACTTCAAATGAAACAAGATAAAAACATGTGAGCTAAAACAAAACACGAAATAACTAATCGAACCCTTTTAAAGTCTCCCGCTGTTACAAACATAAAAGTTATTCTTAGTGCAAAAAATAAGCCAAACAGCTCATTGTTGGTTAAGATATTTTTTGCCAGAGTCACTACTTAAATCGCACAATCTTCCACAGACATCTCGTATAAAAATTCAACGAGTTTAGGAAAGTTCATGTCCTATTTTATGATTCTAAATTCCCACTGTGGTCCCTAGATTAATCGAAACACAAGAACAATCCATTTTTCAGATCACTGCTAAAAGTTCAGGAAAATTTGCTGTGAGATTTGTTTAAATAACAACCATAGCGTGTGTTATTTGCTTCCTATTTCTCGAAAACCTATTTTTCCTTCTTCCCTCGATTTCTACCAAATCCCATACGCACTCAATAGTATATTAGAAATATATTTGCATTCCCTCTTTTCATTAGCAGAAGACCATGTTCTACACAGTTTATCAAATCTAACCGTACAATTAAGCACAAATACCAAACCATAAGTCTACTAAAGAGTAACAAATAAATGAAAAAGAACAATCTACTATTTGAGGCCCTAAAATACAAATCTTACTGAGAGTCCACAATGTTCACTCACAAATCAAAATCAATTACTTCCGATCACCAAACCCTAGATTCCTCACACAATGTAACTAAATTGCACCCTAAAATATCACCAATGGCAAACAAGAAAAAATTACTCATGAATAACTAAAAAAAACAAAATTCCAATCCTTTAGGTATAACAATGTGAAAAGAAAAGGCATAAATTATACACAAAATCAACCCAATAGCATCAAGGAAGACGATTAGATACAATGACTCAGATGCGCAACAATTAGACAATCGGACTAAAAAGTTGTACCATAAAGGGATATAACCAAATGGGTATCCTGCAAACCTGATTACAATTCATAGTGCCCCAAAAAAAATTTTGGGTATGTCAAAAAAAATTCACACACGCACAAACACAATAGAGAGAGAGAGAGAGGGTTACTTCGGCTAGGGTCGAATTTAGGAGGGGGTGGAGGAGGAGGGTCGTCAAGTGACTCGGGCGGCGGCGTAGGATGATCATCAGGTAACGTTGGAGATGGAGGAGGAGGTAGAGGAAGAACAGAGGAGTCTTGCAGCTCACCCATTTGGCTTTGCTGATTATGTGCACTGAGTTTAACAAACCTTTGGGTTTAGTGTTTTATGTATTAATTACAGTTCACAATATTTATCCTTAATGAGTTGTAAACTAGGAGAAGAATTCAAGCGGTTTTACATGTTTTGTGACTTGAGATTAGTGGCCTCAATTTTAATTTGTCCACACAAATCCGACGTGACGTAATTTTTAAAATTGACACGATTATTAATATGTATAATAAATTATTTAAATTAATATTTGACACTTAAAATATTAAATAATTTTTTTTCGTGAGTCTTAATACGAATATGACACAATACAAATAGACATTCCTAATTGATGTATAAGTTTTTACATTTGTGTACAACAACAAAAAAAAAAGACAGGTTAAGCTCGTTCCTAAAAAAATATTATAATTTTTTTTATTTTATAATTTTTAGGGTTCAAGTTATTACTTTTAAGTGTTAAGATATAACTTTCGAGATTAATATCAAATACATCAAAAGTTACAAATACCCCCAAAATTTGTTAAAAAAATAAAAAACTTAAAAATTTGTACATGGTGGTGCAATACCCATTTTTTTTTTCTCGCTATTGTAATCTTCTCCATGATCTATATCCCTTTCTATGTGTTTGCTATTTTTATTTGGTTACATCATTCACTGTATATTAGTGAGAGATTTCACTTATTAATTATAAGTCTTATTTAAATTCACGGTAGATAATTTACCCACAAAAAATAGAAGAAAAATATATATATTTTTTTATCAACGGATAACTACAACACTTACACTTACAAGTGTAAGGCTACAAATAGGGGCGGAGCCAAAAATTTTATTCAGGGTGGGCACTTTAATTATGCACTCTAATTTTTTTCCTTCTAATCAATCACACTATATAACATATTTATATTTATTATATTATATTTGATATATGAAGTCTATTTAACACAAAAAATTTCAAAAAAAAAAATGTATATTGCTAGGGGTGAAGTCATGAATATCTATAATAAAAACAAAATATAATTGATATAAAAAAATATTTAGCTGAAATTAATACAAAAAAAATTCAGTTAAGAATCAATACTAAATTATTGTGAAATAATAAATTCAATTTTTATTTAGCCGAAAAAAAATCTTAACAAAAAAACACAAAATAATTTTTTAGTACATTTTAACCTAATTATATATTTCAATAAAATATAATTTTTTTTTAAAATCTCTAAAATTTTGTATATGAATTAAATGTAAATTAATTTTTCTCTAATTTTCTATCAATGCGCACAATCACAAGTACGTAGTAAAATTATTTTTGATTTGGCTACAAAATTTAGTTGAGATCATTATCAATCTTATAGAGAAATTTTCTATTCAAAATAGTTTAAAATATCTTTGGGTTACAAGATTTTGTTTTTTCTATACAATCGTATTTTATTAGATTATAAACTACTATTACCAAAAAAAATGGTAAATAAAAATTAAAAATTATTCTTAAAAAGTAACGAATATTGTGTTAGATAAAGAAAAATATTGTATTTTCGTCAATATACAAATAGAATATTGACTCAATCCAAAACTAACATATTTATTTTAAAGAGTTAGTGGTCTACTAATTTATTTAAAAAAAAAAGGCTAGAACCATTATTAAAATTTTCAAAAACTTAAGGGGTAAATATAATGCATAAAATAATTTTATAAGCTGGTGCAAGAAATAACAAAAGAACTCAAGGAACTGAGCTTCTTGTATGTTGAGCTTCTCTCTGTTTCTTCTTTTTTTCTTGTGGCTAGGTAGTGGGCAGTGGGCTGCTCGGACTGAGTGATACAGAGATAAAAAAAAAAGTAAAAATAAGATAGGTTTTAGTCAAGTGGGCCAAAAATTTTATTTTTAATGTTTGACCAAAAATTTTGTTTTTAATGTTAGACTAAAAATTTTACTTTTTTAATAGGTTTGTGTAAATTGTAATAGGTCAAATATTTTAATTTTTTAATAAGTTTGAGCAGATAATAGTGAGTTCAATTATTTTTGTTTTAAATGGGCTTAATTTTTTAATTATTTAAGGTAAATTATGTGGGCCTAATATAAATGAGAGGCACGCATAATATATGTGTATAAATATATAATACATATATCTAACTAATAAAAAAAAATTGGGGGAGAGGGGGGATGCCCACCCTGGCCAGCCTCCCTCCACCTATGGCTGTAGCATCCATATAACTCACACACATATCCAAAGGCTATTCGAAGTGGGAAATCCCCAGCCCATCACCACTATAGGCCCGAAAACCTATGCAAATCATTTTATGGCCAGACCCAAAGAAGAATGCAACTAAGCCCACATGGGACCACCCTAAAACGTACCTATGTTTTTTTGATCAAAGATAACTACAACACTTACTCTTATAAGTGTAAGGCTGCAACATCCATATAATCCACACACACACCCAAAGGCTATACGATGTGGGATAGCCCCTGAAGAAAAATATATTAAAAATATCTGACTCCGTATAAATATTTGCTTGCCTTTTTAAAATTTTAGATTGTGAAAAAATAATTTTTAATTTCTTATGCCCCTGTTTGGAGTTCTATTGTGTTACTCTCAAGCATTTTCAATGGTTTGTTTTTCTGTTTTATGGTGCTTTCTTTTATGTTAGAGACGTATTTTTGCTTGTTATAAAAATTAATTGATCAAGATGGTAGTTCATTGTAGCAAAAATATATTTATTTAATAAAACGCATAATAACTTGAATTTTTATTTCTTACTTATTTTTTCCCCTAAAAATATCATACAACTCATTTTTATTACATGTTTAATCATTTATATATTTTCCCCTACAAAATCAATTCACTCATTTCTATCATATGTTTAATCATTTAATATTTGATTAATTTGTAATTTATATAATATTTATTTTAAATATTATTCATATACGATAGTATACACATGTTAAAAAAAATTAATATAGTGGGATCGATTTTTTGGACACTCAAATTTTTTATTTTATCGTGCCTTCAGACATGAGTTATGACTAGTATATTTATATAATAAAGTACAATATAATTCAAATATCAAAAGAGACACAAAATAATTTTTACTTTTCGCGGTTGAGATCTTTTTAAATTTTACTCTAAAATTAATTTAATAGCTAATATTAACACTTCAAATTTAATAGGGAAAATAGGATTCTAAGAATATTTTTTGGGTAATTTTTTAAAAGTACTTATAAAACTTATAACTACTACCATTGTTGCTCACTACCACCCATCGCCGCCTACTATCACAACCCATCATTGCCAACCATCGCCTCCAATCACTGTCACCCACCCTCATCAAACTTACCACCACCAATCGTCATCGCCCACCATTGTCGCCACCCACTATCGCCCACCCCCACCACACTTATCATCACCACCATTGCTATTTACCATAACCCATCACATTGTCGTCCAGAAGTACCCGTCGTCTCCCACCACCTCCATCATCACCGCCCACCACCACAACCCACCACCGTCATCACCCCATCACCACCATTGCCAACCATCATCACTGTCGCCCATAACCATTATTGTCATCACCTATGATTGTCACTGCCACCATCGTCACCAAAAATCTATCTCTAGCATCACTATAGTCACCCATGACTATCACCATCACCACAGTCGTCGTTGTCACCTACCATAACCATCATCGTCTCCCATCACCACCACTACCATCGTTCATCCCCACTACAATTGGTGCTTAAATTTTTTTCTTTACTTTAGGTTTCTAATTTGATTTTGAGTGTAAATATAAATATATTTATTGTTAATTATTTTTTTTATTATTTTGTGTCTTCAAGTACAGACAATAACTAATCTATATAATAAAATATAATACAATTCAAATCTTAAAAGATAAATAAAATGACTTTTACTTTTAGCAATTGAGATTTTTTTTAATTTTATTTTAAAATTAATTCGATGATTAATATTAACATTCTAAATTTAATAGAGAAAATAAACTACTAAGGGTGTATTTGGGACAACATTTTAAAAATGTTTCTATGACTTATAATTTCTCAAAATACTTAAAAAAAAAATAGTGTTTAGAATTGCCCAACCACCGTCACCCCCACCACCATCACTATTACCACCGCCATTGCCACCATCACCACTGTCGCCACGCCCACGCCCACCAGCACACCCACCGCCCCACCAACATCATCACCACTACCATTACCCCCATCGCCCCACCACCACCACTATTGCCACCCTACCATTACCACCACCCACACCGGCCCCACCACCACCATTATCGTTGCCACCCATGGCTCCCACCATCACCAACGATCGTCGTTACCGTCCATAACAATCACCGCCTCNGCCACCCACACCGGCCCCACAACCACCATTATCGTTGCCACCCATGGCTCCCACCATCACCAACGATCGTCGTTACTGTCCACAACAATCACCGCCTCCCACCATCACCACTTTCGCCACGCCCACCGCCACCAGCACACCCACCGCCCCACCAACATCATCACCACTACCATTACCCCCATCGCCCCACCACCACCACTATTGCCACCCTACCATTACCACCACCCACACCGGCCCCACCACCACCATTATCGTTGCCACCCATGGCTCCCACCATCACCAACAATCGTCGTTGCCGTCCATAACAATCACCGCCTCCCACCATCATCACTACCACCGCTCGCCTCCACTACAATTGGTGCTTAAATTTCTTTATTTCTAATCTATCTTTGTGATTTGACTTAGATGTGAATACAAATATATTTATTGTTGATTATTTTTTTATTATTTTGTGCCTTTAGGCACGAGAAACAACTAGTATATATAATAAAGTATAAAACAATTCAAATCTCAAAAAATAAATAAAATGACTTTTATTTTTTGTTGTTGAGATCTCTTTAAATTTTATTTTAAAGTTAATCTGACGGTTAATATTAATACCTCAAATTTAATAGGAAAAATAAGTCAATAAAGGTGTGTTTTGGATGACTTTTTAAAAGTACTTCTAGAACTTATAATTTCTAATAAGTACTTTAAAAAAAATAGTGTTTAAAACCACAT